TATATATATATATATATATATATATATATATATATATATATATATATTTTATTGTATAAAGAATAACTTAAAAAAACGTGTTTAAAACAAAAGAGAAGTAAGTGAGGGCTGAGGATGTAGCTCAGTGGTACAGCCCTTGCTCAGCATGCATGAGGCCCTGGGTTCAATCCCCAGCACCTGGAAATTAAAAAAAACAAAAAAGGTGAAATGGGACTTACTCCACACAGAGGTTTCTGCTCATGCTCTGGGCACAGCTTCTCACTTCTAGTGGAACATTTTAAAGAGCCAGCGACCCTTCAGTGTGAAGCTGGAAGGTCTTCAAAGCCATCCCTTGCTTTAAGGAGATATGAAGACTCAGAAAGTCTCCAAGGCTGGCTACTAGCAGCACTACCCAGAGCCAGCCAGTCAGCAGCCTCCTCCCGCTGCCCCACCCAGGTTTCACCTCCAACTGTGCCGTTCTGCTCTCAAAGCCTTATCACGTGACTTAAATTTGAGTTTCATATGGTGGGGGGAATAGTAGATGAAATGGAAGGTGATGAAGGGGAAGCAAAGACAGAGAAGGAGTAGAGAAACTGAATTGTAGCTTAATCGTTCTCCCTCTTGTTTGTGGACAGGCACCTCCTCTCAGGAACTGCCTATGAGGTAAAAACTCCTTTCTACCTTTCTTCCCAGAGATAAAACCTGTTCTGGATGGAAACCCTCAATCCTTTTCTTTGCATTTATATGACTAAAAGAAAATACGTCCCATATTGCAACACCATCATCCTGTTAACCTTTTTATCTTGGTGCACACGGATTTGGCTCACTGCTGTCCACTGGTGGAGATAGCAGGAGGGTTTTTTGTTTTGTTTGTTTTGTTTTGTTTTACCTATTTTTCAGGGGAAGGAGCACCAACTTAGAGTCTCCTTTACAAGGCTGGGAAATAGAGTGTGCTTGCTTGTTTATGGAAGGACCTCAGATAATTCAGACTGGACTTGAACTCACGAGGTAACCAAGGATAACCTTCAACTCCTGATTCCTCCCTCTACCCGCCTAGCACTGCAGTTACAGGCGTGCTACAACATGCCCTGTCCTATCACGCATGCGTCTTGACTTTTACTCCAGTGTATCTTTGTCACCCGAAGGCCTATCAATATCCCTTGCTTCAGCCAAGTGCAACTATGACTGCCAAGCTGTCTATTACATGGCTCTAAAGAGTCATATTACCAGAGGCAAGGAACACTCTTGTCACACATAAATGTGTTCATATGCTATTCATGAAGGCATGAGTTTCTTTAC